CACATATTCTTTTTGGTTGGAAGAAAGCTGTAGGGTAGCAAGCACAGTGGCATATGAACTTTGGGAATCCAAGGGCAAGCAGACCTTCAGAACCTGGGCCATTCGGGTGGCCAGTGCACCAGAGTATATGAGTGCTTGTGGGGACACCTTGGGGCTGCAGAATTATTTGGCTGCTATTACTGGAAACTCTCAGCCCATTTCCAAGAGGAGTTCTTTTGAAAGACTGAATAGGATACTCCAGTCCCTTCTCGTGGCAGTCTGGACCCTGCCACACTGCCTAGCCAGCCTGTGCTCTCTCCTCAGCGGGCTGCTCATGGTCTTTACATCCTTGACTATAACACTTTGACTATCAAACCAAACCAGTTACCAGTGAGTCGATTCCGCCTCATGGCAACCCCATGTGTGTCAGAGAACTGGGTTGCATAGGGGTTTCAAGGCTGTGACTTTCTGAAAGCAAATGGCTGGCCTTTCTTCTGAGGTGCCTCTGGGTAGATTCAAATCACCAGTCTTGGTTAGATGTCAAGTGCTTAACCATTTGCTTTTTCTTTGACAATGTGCTTATTATAAGTAAGGTCAATTTATCAACAACCATTCCAACTCTTTCAGAAGATAGCAAATGAGGCTAGAACCTTGGGGGCCCCCAGAGGCATCCCCAAGGTCTTCCATTTCCCTCCCCCTCTTCAAATCCTAACTCTTACCAGCCTTGACAGCCCAAGATTCTTGGCTTGGGCCTGATCAGTTTAGTGTCTGAGGTGCTGGGGAGATGGGAACTAGCCTTGAGGTCATGCATGGCAGTGTTGCTGTTTCCTCCTGTCCTCTCCCCCATGAGGTTGAAGGATCCAAGAGTATATGTCTCTTGCATCTCTCCCCTTGTCTCTGCGAATGCAGCTCTTCTTTCCCAGTCCTGGCATGACTTTTATGTCCCCTTCTTCTTGGCGCTCCTACCCTTCCTTTCTTCTGCATCTTCCCTTCCTCCAAGCTTCCCACTGGCCCCAACTCTCCCCTGCAGGCATCTCCTAGGCTCCTGGGATTACCAATAATCATTAAGCTAGACCTGGTGGTTCCCGCCCACAGTCAAGAAGCATTGGCTTAGCCCTGTTCAGCCCCTGACATGACCAGACCTGACTGAACTGCAACCAATGAACACAAAGGCTGTAGCTAACTGGAGCACAGATTCCTGGTATGGCCCTGTGGGATAATGCACTAGACCACAAGGTCGGTTTGAACTGCAAGGTCGGTCGGCAGTTCAAACCCACCAGCTGCACTTCAGAAATCCTATACAGGGTCAGTATGAGTCGGAACTGACTCGAAGGCACTTAACAACAACTGGAGCACACCCAACTCAACAATTCAGACAGAGAAAGGGTCTGAATTGGGGCAGTCATCCAGATCCTATGTCCAAAGGGTCCTGCTCCTCCCACAGCCTTAGGAACTGCCTCTGCTTACCTGCCCCAGGAAATTGTCTCAGCCACCAAGGTCCCTGGAGGAGGCGAGAGGCAAGGGAAAGGGTCTTAGGAGCCTGCTCTCCCACTTGTTCGTTCTCTTGCCCTCACAACTGCCTTCTATCCCACCTAAAGGCTGCTACCCAGCTTCTCTCTGCCCACCCTTCCACTACCCACCCACAGGCCTGCCTGCCAGCCTCAGACTGAGAAGCAGCTATTAATTATTAAAGCAAACAAAAGCATTTCCTAGCAGGGAGGCTAGCCTGCAACTGCTTACAGGAAAGCAGGCCCAGCTGGCTTCCCTCTCAGGGGCCCTGCTCCTGTGTTGGGGTTGGCTCAGGGGGAGGATTGGCCTGGATCTTCTAGGGGTCTCTTCAAGTGGGTGGGCTGGCTTGGTCCCACCAGGAGTCTCCCCAGGCTAAAAAGCACATGGGATGGAGAAGAGAATTGCATCTGTGATGATCCCTCCAGCAGGAAGACTTGGCTTGCAGGGAAGTCTGGAGATATGAGCTGGGATTGGACACATGAGTCACAGAGATAAAGTCCTGTTGGTTCCATGCAGGGCAGTGGCAGCAATAGTCAGGGGTCGTTTTTTTGCAAGGATTCTTTGTCCCTGGGTCCCTCTTTGGGAGATCCTGCTGGCCCTCAACATCAGTTTCCCATTGTCTCCATTTTAATGGTATGCAGCCCCTCTTCTCTCCCTGCTCAGAAGTTCCTCCTAGCTGGCAGAGTCTCCCTCGCTGATCTTAGGCTCTGGGCCTTTTCCTTCTCAACCACCTTCTGCAAATCCTTAGCATTTAAAAACTGGTTCCTGGGGATCTGATAGAACATGGAGACCACCAAAGTGAACAGGGGAGCCCCACACAAAGGAATTTCAGGAGTCTTCTAGGACACACTCCTATTTCTTCAACAGATATTCACTGACCCCCTACTGACTTCTCATGCCTATCTTAGAATCTGGGAACACAAGGATAAATAAGCCACTGCCCTTGCGCTAAAGGGAGGTCCAGGCTGGCAGGGCAGTAAAACTAGGACAGCAGATTCAGGCCTGTGGAAACATCCTTAGACAGTAGTAAGGCGGTTCTACTAGACAGAAGGGGGTAGGGAGGAGGAGACATAAAGAAGGTGCCAGGGTGGGTGGGTCCTGAAGGCAGAGGGGCTGGGTCATGAGAAGATAGGACTTACTAGTGCAATAGCTCGTTCTCCAATGTTGTCGGATACCAAGTATTACCAGAGATTGGGAAAGAAAATTGGGGTCAGATGGAGATGGGCTTGTGTGCTGAATATGTTGGGGGAAGTGAGGAGTCACTGAAGTTTTAATCAGGGAAGAGACATGATAGACAAGATCAGAGAAGTTCTTTGGAAATATTGCTCTTGTCCAAGTGCATGGAAGATGGATGGGAAAGGGGTGAAAAGCAAGGCTGGAGGCAATAGGTTAGAAGGCGGAGGCTTAGGTAGTAAGCCAGGGCAGTTCTCTTTCAAGACCAGGTGGTAGGTGGTAGAAAAGTCAGGATGTGTTATTGGCCAAAGTGATGGCTATGGGCATTGAGATTGAGAATAAGACACAGAAGGGAAAATCTTAATGTCTTGACAACTAGGTGACTGTGGTATGAAGACGAGGAAGGCATCCAAGATGACTCAAGTACTGGTGGTAGTTGGAAGAGGAGATGATAGGGAGAAAATCAAGAGGGAGGTGGGGACAGAGAAAGGGATTTTTGATGCTATTGTTTTTGGGTGCAAAGAACTGAGCAGATGACTGACTGGGGATTCGGGTACAAATGGGAGGAATGACAGACAACATCAGGAAGATAAAGGAGAAAGGATTAGACTGCTTATCTGTGGAAAGGATGGGCCCTAGGGCCAACTAAACTTGTGGAGGCCCCCAATCTGTCTCTTGAAACAGAGAAGTTTCTGAATTTGGGGATGAGTGGTTCAAGTCTGAATAAATGCCACTATCCAAATTGGGGAAGCCCTCTGAATCTCAGAGATGTGAAGCCAATCCCAGCACTGTTAAGAGCCCAGTCTCTGGGACAAATATCACCCCCCCACCATCCTCACCCCACACAAGTTACAAGAGCATTGGTGCTTCACACCTGTTTTCTCCTCATCAAACCTCCTGACTCTGGGCACAAACAGAGGGTTTAGGGTAGAGAAGAATAGGCAATACCAATCCCAGAACCCCACTGAATCTCCCTACCTACTTTTTACCTTAGCTCTTACCACAAAGAGAGTGGTTGGGCCATGTTAAGAAATTGACTGTCTCAAGTTAAATAAATTTAAATAATAATAATGATAGAAAAACAGAACTATATGCATAGCATTAAAAAAACGTGTGAACGGGAAGAAGGAAACACACTCAAATGTTGCAGTAGTTGTGTTACAGACATGAGATTTTTGTTTTCTGTTGTTCAGTTTTTCTAGAATATAATTATATCGTTTGTAAAACACATGGAAATCCATTCATTTGGAAGACCCTTTCTAGTTCTGGAGAGATGAGTGATGGATTGAGTCTCTGGGGCACCCCCTGAAACTCAGCCATGAAGGGAGCCCTATGCAGGAACATGGATTCATGAGCATGGAAGGAGGTATGTGTCTGTGATGAAGTACAGGGTGACATGGCGACTGGATTATGAACAGTATCCCCTGATCAGACCGGGGATGTAAGAGTACGACTTCTAGCTTTTACGATCTTCCCTGGCAATTCCTTATCAGAAACTGTTCAGGCTGCTAGACAAACAGACCTTCTAGGAAGCCCAGCTCCTACCCTGCCACAGCCCATGGTCCTAACCGCCATGGGCTCCCCATAGAGTATCTCAATAGCCCGCCCCACCCCCAGGCTTACAGCTGGGGTACAAAAAGCCCCCGGAGTCCGGAGCTGTGGGAGGGCGGGCCAACAAGCCTTTAAAATTCCTCACCAGATGTGGAATCCATTCCCCCAGAGGTTACCTGCCCAGACTCCCGAAAAGGAGCAAGAGATAGGTTTGGTTTCCAATGACCCACTGTCTCTCGCAGGGTCCACAAGAAAACACATCTTGAAAAGAGAGCAGCCCTTTAGTTCCCAGTCACTCCAGTTAAGCCGATTGCCCACTCTCAGGCCATAGCTGCTTCTTTGGCTCTGCATCCTCACCTTCCAACTCTGAGGGGCGTGGGAAAGCTGAGAGGAGCCCTGGAATTGGACCAGGGAAGGTAGGGAGGCCGCCCAGGAAGGAGGGGTGACAGCTTCTTCTACAGGGGGTAACTGTGGGTCAAGACCCAGGGACTGCGGGCAGCGGAGATACTTCCTCCTCCAAAGCCGTAAACGGCCCAGCCAGGTGGCGTATGCGCCCCATGAGCTACAGTCAGAAGTCAGAGCCGGGACAAGCCGGAGAGGAGGCAGAAGCCCCGCCCCGCATCCTCAGAAGGCAGCATAGGCGCTCGGGACAGTGTGGGAGGGAGAGCTCATCTGGACTGTGCAGAGTTAGGGCTTCCCCCCACCCCGCTCCCCAGCAGTTTAGCAAGCCGAGCAAAGGCGGTGTGCAGCCGTCCAACCCGCGCGTCCCGTCCGGTTCTCCCGCTTACCTCTGCGCCGCGGTGCTGGCGTCCAGAATGCCCGCGCCCTGCATCCAGGAGCGCACCGAGCCCAGGCCGGCGGGCAGCAGCGGCTCCTCCTTCAGGTTAAGCCCGCCGCGGGGCAGAGTATCCTGCGTGGGGAACATAAGGGCGCGCAGTCGGTGTGCGCCCCCACCACTGGGAGCCGGTCCCGCGCAGGCTGCGGGCAGCGCGGCTCAGCCCGACCCGACGGCACCGGGCGCCGCCAGGAGCGCAACGCACTGCCGAGTCCCGGAGGCTCGGTGCGCTCTAGTCTCTGGGCGCTCCCTCGGAGAAAGCGGGTCCGCCAGCGCCGCGTTGTCCCCTCCCCTCCCGGGGCGCGGGGCGGGAGGTGGAGGGATTCCCCCGCGGCCTGAGTGCCTGCGGGCGCGCGGGCTGTGAGCCGGTAGGGAGGGCGGGAGAGCGCCCGCACCCGGTTCTCGCGGAGGCGCCCCAGAGGCGCGCTCTGGCGGCTACCCAGGGCCGCGGTCGTCGGAGGGGGGGTGGGATGAGAGCCCCAGGGGCTGCCTCCGGCAAGGCGGGGGCGCGGGGCCGCCCGCCCTCTCCCCCTCGCCCTCCACCTCCCGCCCGCCCGCCCGTGGCGCCGGCGCGGGGCGCTGATTACCATCCGGGAGGCGGAGGCTGCGGGCGCAGAGGTCCGCGGCGGCGACAGCGGCGGTAGCGGCGGCAGAAGCAGCAGCAGCCGCGCGTCCCGGGGAAAGGCAAG